ATAGTCCGTGGTCGTCATCTATTCTCCTCTAGATGATTGGATCACTATCAACATTGATGTCTTTCATCATGTTATCACACAACAACTATTTTGTCTACCCATGTTTTACCCAACACATTTTATAGATATAAAATACATATACGGTTTAAATCATTTAAAACATGTATAAAAATCTTTCACCCAGCATAGACAACCAGTATTCAGACAATATGCACACGTAGCACGTAATTTATATTAAAATAATTCATATCTATGTGTAAGATGAAAGGGACTATGCACTCACCGGAAAATGTGGTGATTCCGAACTCAGACAATGCTTCGTTTCTTAAAAATAATTTCCTTCGACGAAACCTAGTATTAATACCACTAGAGTTTAATCTATTATTAGCCGAGACTAATTAATAGTCTAGCTATTATTACTATTATATAAGCATTCAACCATACTTATATAACCCATAATAATAGCCAAAGTACTTATTATAAGTTCCTAATAACGTTATTATAATTAAATAAAAACTATATTAAAAATAGTGTAGGCGTAGCTCACTTACAGCGGGTTTATAGAAAACCGGGATTTGCTTGGAGCAGCGTTCCCGAGTCGAAAAGCACTTCTTCTTAGAGCTGTCGAGGACTTCGGGGTTTCCGCCTCGTGCTAGGGAGGTTCCCTAGGCTTTTCTCGGGGGTTTCGGGGCTAGAGAGACGTTCTAGAGAAAGAGTAAAGAGAAGAAAGAATGAGAAAGATTTGAAAAAAAATGAGGGTGAGAGAGGTTCTATTTATAGGGTGAAGTATGGATGAACTTGATGCCACATGTCACCATCTGCTGGCAAGACTTGGGGAAAAAGCAATGACCAAGATTGTGCCACATCACCCATTTTCGCACAACACACTTCCGACTTGTAAAACATGTAACTTTCACATACGAGCTCCGTTTTTGACGTTTTGTATATCAATGCGTTGGAAAAAAAAAAAGATCTACAACTTTCATTTTGACTCCGTCGGCTAATTTTCGACCGATCTTAAATTTAACAGTACGATGAGATTATATTGTTAAATGTCCGCGTAAAATTCATAACTTCTACATACGGACTCCGTTTTCGTCTGTATTTTTACCGTTGAGTTACTATTAATGAGATATTCAATTCTCATTTAGGTCGCGTAGGCCATAAACCGCTCGATCTAAAATTCGAGTTTCGGACTGTGCAATGCTAAGCCAAATCTTAGAAAATTCATATCTTCCTCATACGAAGTCACGTTTGAGCGTTCTTTTTTTGTATGTTTTTGGTTTAATGTATACTACAACTTTTGTTTCGATCACTAAGGCTAAAGAGTTCTCTATCGTAAATTCACTATTTACATCTCCCGCTACCGTGTCGGTTTTGCCGTAAAAGTTCGACGGGCCATAACTTGTTCGTTATAAGTCAGATTTCAGCATTCTTTATATGTACGGAACCCTTGTAACATATACTAAAACTTGGTTAATATTAATCCTTCTAAATAATCTTTAATAAAAAACTGATTTTTGACGCTTATTGTCTCTAAATTGACTAGCCCGGATATGCGGGCGTTACAAAACATAGTGTCATCAGAGGGAGCAACATTAAAAGTCTTCACCGCATAGATTTTTTCAGTGATATATTCAAAGATGCTTTTAATCGGCACCATAAGAAACTTGAGACAAGAAAGTGGATTTCAAAAATGATGATGAATCGGGTGAAAGAAGGATTGTGGTGGTTTCGATTGAATGAAAAGGATTCAGATGGCGGAAAAAAGAAAATAAAAAATTAAAAGGCAAGTGGAACCATGGGAAGCAAATACACATGCTATAATTTAGTAGGAGGATATCATGTTTGACGTAGTATTGACTATTGACATATCAACACACGAGGAAGAATCCTTTAAAAATTTGATGGAAACGAGAAATTGCCAGTAATCAATTCGCGAAGTCTAACCTTGTTGAAGAATCCGATACAATGAATCAATCCTCAGTCGGTAGAAGATGAATTAGCGAAAGCTTTGCCTGCAAAGTAAGGGATTTTTTATGTGGATGATATGGGTGGTGTTCTGTAATGAGGAAATTCGAAAGATCAATCAAATGCGATATATATGAAGTGCTGATTTGTTGTACATGAAATTAGGGTTTGTTTATTGATGATATCGTAGGCGTTCTTGGAAAAAGTCGGAGTTGCGATCAGAGGAGAAAGTAAATCGAGTTTGTCTTTGAATATGGAGAATATGGAAAGTTGGTGGAGAAAGGAAGAAGATGTGTTGTGGTAAGTTGCGTCGTTCGTGAGTTAGGGTTACGTGCTCATTAAAATGTCAAAGGCGATCCAATAGAAGAGTGAAGAGGGAAAAGATAGAAACAGTGTTTGGAAACAGGTGTCTGTAGCGAAGTGGTGGTGTGAACGCGATGGGGGAGAATAAGCGATGGAAATATGATTTGATGAATCGACATTGATCATGGCCTCGTTCAGAAGGGAGTTGACGTGGCGTCCATTGGAAAGTGGAAATGTGATTTCGGCGGAAGGAGATAAATGAGGCTTATATATATATATATATATATATATATATATATATATATATATATATATATATATATATATATATATATATATATATATATATATATAGTGGTGAGATCGGTTGAGAACTCATAGTTTCCTAAGAACCCAAAAACTAAAAGTGGAGTGTTGGATCAAAACTAATTCATTAAATACATGATCGTCATCATACCAATACAACTTAATTTTTTGTATTATTGGAAATATTAATAAAAAGCTCTAAAATTAACATTATAAAAAACATTTTCGGATTTTTTTTATAAAAAAAATAATTTTCGTTTTGTTTTTAAATTGCAGATTTTTAACTTTTTTGGAAAGCAAATTTTTTTTAAAAATTTGAATTTTTTTCTTTAAAAAACTACAATTTTTTTCAAAAAAACTGTAATTTTTTTTAAAAAATATTGCATTTATAAAAACTACAATTTAAAAAAAAACATTAATTTTTTCAAAAAAACTGCATTTTTTAAAAAAATATAGCAATTTTTTTCAAAAAAAGTGCAACTTTTTCAAAAAAATGCATTTTTTAAAAAAATTGCAATTTTTTTTAAAAGAACTGCAATTAAAAAAAAGCAACATTTTTGTGTAAAATATAAATTTTAAAAAATCAGTAAATTTATAAAAAAAACAAAAATATTATAATAAAACTCTATTTTTTTAACAAAAAAATCAGTATTTTAGGTGCATATATGCTTATGATTTTCAAATGAATATATGCATATTTGGTATACTATAATATTCGTAAGTAAATAAAAAAAAAATCTCATTTTTATTATTCAATCTATAAACATAATAGTACAAGTATTTTATTCGATAAAAAATAAAATAAAAAATAAAAAAATGCTAATAAGATTCACAGTGTTATCATTTTTTTCATATCAAGATTTTCACGTCTTCAATATTTTCCACAAATTCTTCAAAATTTAAAAGAAAATTAAAAAAATTTGATTAATGCAAGAACACTTACAAAAATGCACATGTAATTTACATCAAAATTACATGTGATTAATATGTGAATTACATGTGAATCGTATATAATTCATATGTGATTTCACTTGTGAATCATATGTAATTCATATGTGATTCACTTGTGATTTCCATGTGATTAATATGTGAATTACATGTGAATCACATATAATTCATATGTGATTCACTTGTGAATCACATATAATTCATATATGATTCACTTTTGAATCACATGTTGTTCATATGTTATTCACTTGTTATTTACATTTGATTTACATGTAATTGATATTTGAATTACATGTTATTTACATGTGAATAACATGTAAATTCATATGTGATTTACATGTGAATCATATGTGAAGTAAATGTGATTTACATGTGAATTACATGTGAATCACATGTAATTCATATGTGAATCACATGTAATTCATATGTGATACACTTGTGATTTTAAATGTGAATCACATGTAATTCATATGTGAATCACATGTAATTTATATGTGAATCACATGTAATTCATATGTAATTTACATGTAATTTATATGTGAATCACATGTAATTCATATGTAATTTACATGTGAATCACGTGTAATTAGTATGATGGAATCATGTAAAAGAATGGAATTACTTTATCAAGTCTTGATTATGATCAAATTCCATAGAGTTGAGGTGTTGTTGTGTTTATCTTGTACACTTATTAAGTATTGATTCTTCAACATTTAGATGTTGAAGCTCAGCCGGTCATCAACCACAAGATGGGAGGATTTTGTTTGAAAGAATCACGCCTTCAACATATTGTGTAAGGCCTGCATTTAGGAAGGATCCTATAGATGCCGAGGAAGTGATTTTATCTTTTTTAGGACCGATTTGGTAACAAACTCTCATACACAATTAAATATGTAACTTAGGATCAAGAAACACACACACACAGTTACACACACAATAAGAGAAATGATATATATAAAGAGAGATAGACACAAAGTACATGAGTAAAAACATAAATATAAATCCCAATAAAAGTGGCTCCATAATCATATAGTTGTATTAAAAAAACAAATAATAGTTGTCCTAAAAAGCTAAATGTTCTATAATAGTAAGAGAAGAACTTATAAGTTATATTGGTTCTTGCCTAAAGTATACGAGTTAAAGCATCCTCTTGGCTAAAGTACATGAGTTATATTGCATCCTTTTGTCATGTATGCAATGGCTTATGATATGAACTCCATTACATTTAATCATATAAAAAATTAGCATACATAGCATTATATCATCAATCGATCGATGCCTTATGATAATCAATTCGAGTTCTTGTGTAGTATAATTTTATCAACAATCTGTTTGAAATAATCAAATGGTGATATTGATTCTAATGAATTATCGGGTTAAGAGGTGGATCGAAAAACATTGTACTGAATACTGATTTGGTATCGTGAGATCTAAAAAGCTAAAGCGAAAAGTGATTTTAAGGAAAACGATTTCTAACCAGTAGTGTTGTTACATGCGGTAGTGTCAGATGACATTCCACACAATTGAGGAAGACAAAGTGCCTGAGCAACATTGATTCCGAGACAAGACAAGAAAGCAGGATTCTCATAGAGGTTACATAGACATTGTAGATCGGTGGCTACCGCCTCCTTGATCGGATCGTAACAGGAGTTGGGCGGCTTTGTGGTGGCATTGAGGTACTAAGCGCACGAGATTAGCTTCGACACACACGTCTGGGGTTGTGCCTGTGCCGTTGACACAGATACAAACATCACCATGAGCGCAACCACCACCGTGAGAAAGAAAGAAGAAGCCATCTTTGTGGTTGATTTTTTCTCTCTCTAGAAGTTAAAAGGTTGGCGATTACATTCGAGTTTCTTTTTCTTCATCTCCGATTACATTATGATCGGCAAATCGGCAACATAATTGAATAAAAAAAATAAGAAATCGAAAGCGATTCCAACCCTCCGCAAACCCTAGGTAGCCATTCTTTAATAAAATCCCCATCGGTGAGGAATGTCATCGATCTGCCGAACCATAGTACATTGTCAGTGTATTGTTTCTTTGATTCACCATCGGCAAGCTAAAGTGTGAATTACAGGAGGTGGAATGAAGATCAAAGGGATGCAGGATGAAGAGAGCGAGAGAGATAGGGTAGTGGCTAACATGATTCAATCCGATTAATGGGTATGAATATTTATCCATTCCTAAAATGCCATGATTCTTTTTCAAAAAATGCCCCTGTGCCTTTTCTTTCCCATGTATTTACAAAAATGTCACAACGCATCCTAACCATTATTTATTTTGATCTAACGATCATCGTTTTGTTCTCAGGTTCTCGGGAATATGACTTCTTAAATGATCCTTGCTCTCTCTCTCTCTCTCTCTCTCTCTATATATATATATATATATATATATATATATATATATATATATATATATATATATATATATATATATATATATATATATATAGGTTCATGTGAGACGGCCTAATTTTGTGAGACCGTGAGATGCAATCCTAGCCACTCATTTAGTAGATAAAACAACATTTTTAAAATGCAAAATAATTGAAAATTTTTGATTTTTTTTTTCAAATATTATTTTCGGATTTTATATTTTCCAAAAAAAAAAAGTTTTTTTTTACATATTCTAGTATAATATTAGAATATTCTACATATCTGACAAATCTAGTAGAATATTATAACATTCTAAAAATCACATTAGAATATTTACAGTGTAATATTATATTAGAATATTTCATGTATTAAAAAAACAGTAATTTATTATTATTATTATTTTTTTTAGGTGATTAAAGTTCCGAAAATAATAATTAATTTTTTTTTTTGGATTTTTCCTTTTAATATATATATATATATATATATATATATATATATATATATATATATATATATATATATATATATATATATATATATATATATATATATATATATATATATAACAAATACACCATTTTCTGCAGTTTTGAAACCTATACCTGTTCTTTTCAATATATTCTATTCGGTTCCACAGCAAATTGTAATTTTTTTCGGTCTTATCCGGTTAATCTTCGAATCTTAGAAAATGTTGAGATTTATTATTTATGAAAATCTAACACTAGTCCTATCGAAAATACGCGATACCCGAATTAGCTTCCCGATTTTTTCGGGTGTTGGGTAAATATTTTCGGGTAATCGGGTAACCCGATTTTTTTAGGTCGGGTAAAGGGTATGTTTGTTGGCTTTTGGGTATACCCGAATTACCCAAATTAATTTAATTTTTTTTTCGTAGAGCTTGTAGTCTGTAACAGGTATTTGATCACGCTTAAACTAAGTATCATTATTGTAAAACATGAATCTTTTTTATTATGACAATATGACACTAGCAATATTAAAAATAATTGTTTATATATCATCATGTTCTTTAAAACTTAACTGTTTTCTAGATTATAGTTTTTATTGCAAATAACAAACTCATTATCTTGACGAAACTTTAGAACATGACAAAACTTATGGCTACAATTATCTTATACATTTTAAGCTTTTAAATTAAAACCTTTAAGTATTTGTTTTTTTAACATCTTATTAGATTAGATTAAGTTGTTAAAAAATTATTTGATATCTCAGCTATTATTGACTAAATAATCTCAATGTTCAAAGGTTGAGTAACTTCGTTTATACCTCGTTTGTTTATATAAACAAGACTAATAAAGCACGACGTATTTATTTCACTAAACTTATTTTCAAGTGAAATTAAAAAAAAATTATATATTTCGGGTAATACCCGAATTATCCAAACCTGAATTGTACGAATTTAATTTGGATCGGGTAACAGATATTTTTTTAACATGAAAAAATCCGAATTACCCGATCCGAATTACCTGAAACCTGAAAAATTACCCGATAAACACCCCTATATAAAACTATCATTAACTGAAGTCAATGATAAGAAATATGATTGCTAAAATTAATAAAAGAGGTGGCTATAGGAACATTAACCTTGCAACATGAGTTAACTTTCTTATAGCCATATGTTTTATGAATTTTATGCGATTATATATATATATATATATATATATATATATATATATATATATATATATATATATATATATATATATATATATATATATATATATATATATATATATATATATATATATTTTAATATTTTTTTGTCATGGACTTCACTTAATGAATATGTTATATTTTCATAAACAATCAATCTCATTATTTTTTAGGATTCGAAATTAGCCAAGAGTTTTTGTCGTTTATTTTAGAGCCGACAAATATCAATCCAACCCGAACCCAATCTAAAATTAGTAGGTTGGGTTGAGATTTTCAACTCATTTAAGTTAAATGAGTTAACCTGTCTAACCCATTTAATTAAATAGGTTGAGTCGGATAAAAATTATCAACCCGTTTTCAACCAACAACGCATTTAACTTTAATTTATATTTAATTTAATAGTTATTTAAATATTATCATGTATTAATCTAAGTATTAGTTTATAAATTACAATGTTCATATTATTATTTATGTTTTAAAAAATCGAATGTTAATTCTTATATTTTTTTCTTGGTATCAACAACCCTAGTCACTCTCCAAAAATCACTTAGAAATTATATTTCTTTAATGTTATTTGAACAATTTTTTTGTAAATGTGAATTGAGATTGTACTTTTGTCATACTTTGAAATCTTATTTAAGTCTAACTATTTAAGTGACGTAATCTTTAGTTAATTAATTAATTAATATTTATTTTAAATGGATCAACCAAAATTTAACCAATTTATTTAATAGATTGAGTTGGAAATTACATAACCATGTTAACTCAGGGACAACCAATTTATCTGAATGTTTAAGTTGGGTTGGAAATATCAACTCATTTAAATAAAAAGATTGAGATGGGTTGAAATTTTCAACCCAATTAATAAATGGGTTGAGTGTGTCAGATCGATCCGTCAGCTCTAGTTTATTTTATTTAATCCTTACATATATTTGCAAAATTTCGTGCAAATGACGATGTGACACCATTTTCTGGTTCTTTTCACTAAACTTATGGCTTTTTATAAAATATAAATACCAGTTTTATAATTTTGTCTGATAATCTTAAATATTACTAAAAGAGAAACTTTATGACATCATCTTAAATAATCTGGACTATTGATTGTATTTCAATCTTATTTTTTCCACCCTTAGATCAAATTGCTGACATCATCTTCCCCATATGGAATATATTTAATTCCAATATATGCTTTCCAATCATCAATCAATAACTTACATTCGTTGAAATTGAATGTATTTAATTCCAATAAAAGCTTTCCATATTTTACATCTTGAATTTTCAGTTATGAAGATTTTAATATGATCAATTTTAAAAATATATTACTAACAAATCATTTCAATCAAGGTCTTAATATCAACCATTAATATAAATCCGTTTATATTAGTAAACCAGTAATATAAAATCTTTTTTATTAGGAAATCATTAATACCGAAAAATCATATTCAAATTATCACATACATATACAATTCATCATTGAATCCGCGACTCACATTTATTTTCAATCGTTTCTTGTCTTCAAACATTCTCCTGCAACATCGTTAATATTGCTTATAGCTTCCATCATCATTCTCTGCTATCAACATTCACTCTTGTGCGCTAGAAGGTCAGTACCTTCTTTCGCTTTTTATATTTTTTTCGATCATTTTTTGTTCCTATATCAAATGTATGTATTCATATATTTTGATTTTCTTTGTCACAAATTACATAAAATCAGTTAACTACTTTTCTGAAACTTTTCAAATAAACATGAAAAGGTATTAGGTACCTTTAACAAAACAAAAATTAACTATCCTAGGAACTGACATTAATTACGAAAATGTTACTTTTATATATTAGAGATGATTATGATTTTTTTTTTTAATTTTTATGTCATAAGAATCCGGTTAATTTTGGCATGATTTTAAAATATCATTGAAATTATTATGTTTTTATATATCATATCAACCTACTTTTTTTTTCTTCGTATAGTAACAATAAAATTTATTAATTTACACAACAAATATAAATATTTCAAATTTTGTAATATTATTATATCTTACAAAATACAACTCCTTCCAAAATAAATTTTCGTCAGTAATTTCATCCATAATTTCAACAAATTTAAATTTGTATTTTCTTTATATATATATATATATATATATATATATTTTTTTAATGATCCTGATTTTTTTTTCTCCAAAAGTATATCAAACATTTACGTTTTAGATAATGTTGTCCTATTATAATTATTATTTTCCAAAAATATATCCGTTTAATGAGGAATTTGATATAATAAAGGAAGTGAATGTTAATTAAAATGAGATATATATTCCATAATTATTACATGAATTTATTAAAAAAATTAATATCAATGTGTAAATATTAAACATTTTTAAAGTGAAATTTCAGAATACATACAAACGATAATGTTGTACAATGAAATATAAAATTGAATAGACTGAAAAAAAAAAACACTATTAAACCAGTCAATCTTGAAAATAACATAGTTATGAAAAATTATAAAGTAGGATTGAAATTATAAGATATTAGGAGATTTGTAAAAAGTACATTTAGTAAAAGCGTTACGGTTATTAGAAAAAATAAGACTGTTAAGATTAGTGAAAATACAATATATAAACTAAATTATCATAATAGTAATGAAATGTCATTATTAGATATTTCATATAATTGACAGATATATCAAATTAAATTGATATACTAAAATTATTCAAAGTTGCACCAAAACTAATGCAAAATTTTTGCGAATA